GGGGGGGAGAGGGGTCAATTTGGGGGCCTTTTTCGCCATGTCAGCATGAAGCGTTCAAAATTAGGGCGAGTCAACACCAATCGGTCAAAACCGAGAGGAGGCATGAAACTTGTCCGGTTTCAATTGTTGAGGGTGCAAGTTGTTTGGTATAGTAGTTAAGGGACGAAAACTAGACTCCACGAAGAGTTGATGAACGAAAAGCATACATTATCTTAAAATAATTTTCACGCGTGTCAAAAGAATGTACATGATATCTTTTAAAATGTATATACAATGTAAAAGATGTTTGTATAATTTTTAAAAAAATTAGCACCACTTAAAATGTATGCTACACTAAAAATCATGTTTCAAAAAACTGTTCGTGACATTTTTTTTATATGATGTAAATATTATATTTGTGTAGTGTAAAAAAAATTCATATCATTCAGAAAATGTTATGATGTGTATTTGATTTTTATTAACACTTATTGAAAACATGTATTCGAAAACATATTAATCATGTATTTGACAAATGTTCAAGGAAAAGCATTGAAATCAGTCGGATGATGAACACGCTTCGTAAGCCGTCTTCAGCGCGCCACGCGTCCGCTGGGCCCACGCGCCGCTTATCTCTCTTCCTCCCTTATCTCTTCCTCCCGATGCGCCGAGCCGCTCGTTCTTTCTTCCTTTTCTTCTTTCTTCTCCACACCGCCCCACACACCAGCGCCATCGCCCGTCGCCGTAGACCAGCGCCGCCACCACCGCGCGTTGCTGCACCGCTGCTACAAACTGTCGTCGCCTAGTGTCGCTGCACCGCTCTGCAAATCGCTGTCACCGCTCACCTCGTGCTGCCATAGGCTAGGCTGGGCGGAAGCTGCTGTCATAGCCGGCGGGAGCTGCGTGCAACAGGTGAAGTAGAGCGGGCTCGCCGGCGTTGCGATGAAGCAGCATGGGGCCGCCGGAGCTGCAACGAAGCTCGCCGGAGTTTCAATGAAGCGCCATGGGGCCGTTGAAGCTTAGTCGGCGCTGCAATGGAGCACGTCCGGTGCTGCAGTGAAGCACCGCGGGGATCGCCGGAGTTGCAATGAAGCGCCGCGGGGATCGCCGGAGTTGCAAGGAAGCGCCACGGTCAGCGCTGCAGTGGAGCGCCGCGGAGATCGCCGGAGTTGGAATGAAGCGCCACGGCCGGCGCTGCAGTGGAGCGCCACAGGGATCGTTGAAGTTGCAATGAAGCGCCGCGGCGGGGTTGTCGGAGGTGCAATGGAGCGCCACCGGGGGCTGTCGGTGCCGCCATGGAGCTGCTGCCATGACTGTGTCGTGGTGTTGTCTGATCCCGCGGCTGGGAGTGTCAGATCGGACGGCTCCGGGGCGACTTAAATTCGTAACAAATCAATCGGCTGATTTGTAGCAGCCGCCAATGTTCAATGTGCATAAAAAAATGCTTCCGATGTACATGAAAAATGTACAACGGTCTTTTGAAACAAGTAGACAAGTATAAAGAAGAAAGGAAAAAAAGAAAGGGAAAAGAAAAGGAAAAACGGAAAAGAAAATAGGACATCGCCGATTTGGCCCACTTAGCCGATAGTCTCCAGGAACAGTCCAGAAATTTTCTGGTTCAGTTGAATCCCAACCCCACTCCTCAGGTACTCCGCCAATCTCTGATGATAATCTCCGTGTCTTGTACATGGATCTTTGATATTACCAAGAGAAGAAACGAGAATCATCATCACAAACATCCAACGAGTTCCTTGTTCTTTCCTCTGATTATCAGGAAGTCCACCCGCCATCGCCATGGGCAGCCGGTTTGTGAATCTGTTGGCCAGGAGCTGCAACGGCGGCCCCAGACACTTCAGCCTCCACTGCTTGAACCCGGCAAGCTTATTTCACCCAGCCCGGTCACGGCCAGCGGTTCGAGCAGTTCATCGACTGGCCCTGCAGGAAGGGCGAATGGGCGTGGATGAATTTCATGGCTTTCGGCCTTGACCGGGAAAATCTCCTCGCCGTGGACCAAATCGGCAGGAGCTTCTTGTACAACCACGACTCGCGCTTGCTCCGCACTGGGATGCCCAAGATGCGCGGGCCCATTAGCGACCCCATCTCCGTTGCCGTGGGCGACAGCCTATACGTCATGAGCGGCAACCCTGGCCAGCTGCCCGGCCAGGGCTGCTTCCAGGCTCTCCTCCACACCCGCCTGCCTGGTAGCCGCGCCGAAGACTGGTGCTGGTATTCCCTCCAGCCACCGCCTCTCTTTGCCGACGACGACAACGGGGTGGATCGATCCAGCCGCTTTGAAATCGGTGCCTACGCCGTGGTTGACGATTCACAGATCTGGATATCCACGTCTGGCGCCGGCACATACTCGTATGACATCGCGAGCGGCGCGTGGAGCAAACTAGGCAACTGGGCACTGCCGTTCCGAGGTCGCGCCGAGTACATCCCTGAGCACAACCTCTGGCTTGGCTTCACGCCCGACGATCTGCAGCTCTGCACAGCAGACCTCACTGCCTCGTGCGAGCTGAGGCCGCCCGTGCTGCACGACGTGTGGACGGACATGAACAGGCCAGAAGATTGGACCCTGACAGACGCCAGCATTGTGCCGCTTGGCTCCGGTCATGTCTGCGTTGTGAGGTTCTTTCTTAGCTGCCCAGAGGAGAGCATTGAGGATGTGTATGGCGATGCCCTTGAGAAAACAGAGACTTTTGCTGTTCTCGAGGGCGTCAAATTGTTAAAGGCTGGGTGGGCTCAGCTCCGGATGGTTAAGCACAAGTCGGAGCGTTACGTCTTCGGCCATGACCTTGTCATACCGCTGTGAATGATGATGATTTGTACGTACTTCATCTATGGCAAGTGACTTCTCTTAGATCAAAGACCAGCGGCTCGCTTGTGTATTGTCCTATTTTCTATCTGTCAATTGCTGTTTCTGCTTGTGCTTTTGTTATGTAGCTTGTTGACTTGTGTTGGTGTGAGTTGAGATTTATGTATCTGCCAGAGGGCTCAAGTGTAAAATGTACATATAATATAGATAGAGAATAGAGAGAGATGGATCGGAAGAGATCCAGAAAATTCCCCGTTCATCGCCTCTGCCCTCTCTCTCTGTTCTTCAACCCAGATTACTCAAATCTTCCTGATTTTCGTATGAAACTCAATATGGCATTGGAGCAGGTTCGTTCCTTTGCGCTCTCCCTGCAATTTTGAGCGCAGATTGGCCACCGACGAGGTGCTGTGTCGCCGTAGTCTTGAGCGTGCGGTTGTTGCTGTCGTGTGTGGTGCTGTGATCTGTCCGCGTCCCTGTCTTCATCCCCTCTGCACTCTGCAGTCCGCCAGAGTGAGGTGCTGCACCACCGCCGCTGGACCCGGACATAGGTCTACAGCGCTGCTCTGGTTTGGTGTCAAGTGGTTTGCGACGTGGTCAACTTCATCCCCAAAGTGCTGTCCTACTTCTTCCTGGTACCTATCAAGCCGCTGGTTCATCTCCAAGTTTTTTATTTGGCACATATTGTCTTGCGTGAGGTCTCCATCACAAACAGAGGAGAGGCCAAGTTAAATCAGACTAGTGTGCTACAGGCTACAACAAATTAGCAACTGCCGTGGTGAACTTTAATACAATTGTTGAGTGTGCTTGGGGTGTGCTTTTGCATTGAAAATGTCAGAGCAAACTAAGGACAAATCAGGGGATTCAAGTATAGAAAAAATGTATGAAATATTCAGTAAATTGCTTGAGCAGCAGCAGCTTAAAGCAGTCCCAGAGACAGTTAAGTATGCCCTGGAACCAAATCCAGTGAGGTTATCAGGTCCTGGCAACTATGTCAGTTGGGCACGCCATGCTCAATTGATACTGAGTTCTCATGGCTATGAGAACCTACTTGTAGATGATGAAGAAAAGCAGAAAAGTGGTGATACTCACACAAGACAGATTAATGATAGAGTTTTAGTATGGCTGTTGGGAAGCATGGATCCAGTAGTGCGACAACAAGTCGAAATAATGTCAACTGTGTCTGAAGTATGGGCCGCTTTGGAGAAGCAATTCGCTGGGAAATCAAACAAAATGCAGGCAACCCGCATTATGGAGGAATTAGTTCATCTAAATCAGGGTACAAAGTCTGTAACAGAATATGCTGGGGAATTGAAACGGCTGTACAGGGATCTGCACTATTATCATCCTTTTCAACCAGTTGACAAGAAAGATCTGGCCATTCATCACAAATGGTTTGAGACAATTGTGGCCAAGCTGTTTCTAGATGGACTAAATCAGGAGCTTAACCTTCGACGACAACTCATATTCTCTCAACCAGAATGGCCCAGTCTTGATGATATTATTTCCAGTGTGCTCGAGGAAGAAACCCGGTTGGCTCAACCCAAGGAGGAGGATCTAAAATGTGGAGACGACCGTGCGGCTTTATCTATGCAATACCGCCATACTCCCAGGCCCTTTGGCAAGATAGAAAAAAACAAGTTGTTTTGTGATCACTGTAAAAGAAAAGGACATACAAAGGTTGGATGTTTTGAGCTGCATGGATATCCATCATGGTGGGAAAAAGGAAAATCTCGGACAGGGGGAGTTCAGAGTGTGAATAGAAGGCAGGCAAACCACACCGCGTCTCTACGGGAGCCACCAGTGGTAGATGTACGAGCTCTTGAAGAGTTCAACTCCAAGCTTAAACTCTCAGAAAGCTCATCTTCCTCCCAAGGCACTTCTAAGGTTGATTCCAATCTAATTGCCACTTCTCACCCAGGTATGAACCTTTGTCAAGCAAACACCAGCACCAAATCAAAACCTTGGATTATTGATACAGGAGCTACAAATCATATGACAGGGGATTCAAACCTGTTTGTATCTTATACACCTTGTTCAGGTAAAGACAAAGTCCGTGTAGCAGATGGATCCATGGTGCCTATTGCGGGGCGTGGATCCATCCGGTGCACCAAGTCATTGTCTTTACCTCATGTTCTACACGTTCCCAAGCTTCCATTTAACCTATTATCTGTTAGCTCTATCGATAAATCTCATAACTGTAGAAGTTGGTTTGATCCTACTTGTTGTGCTTTTCAGGAGCTAGGGACTGGGAAACAATTGGGGACTGGGACCGAGCATGAAGGACTTTTATTATCTTGATGATGGAAGTGATGAAGTGGCTCTTGCATCATGTTTGTCTTCCTGTCAGGAGTTATTGTTGCATCACCGCAGGCTTGGACACCCTTCTTTTGCTGTTTTATCCCGCGTTTATCCTGCTTTATTTAAGTTATGTCCTAAAGAGGCACTGGTATGTGATGCTTGTGAACTAGCTAAACATACTAGGGGCTCTTATCCTAGTATTGGTCTTAGAAGTGAAAAACCTTTTGAAAGAATTCACTCTGATGTGTGGGGACCCTGTGAGGTTCACTCAGTTTCTGGGCACCGGTGGTTTGTGACCTTTATTGATTGCTTTAGTCGATACACTTGGCTTTATCTTCTGAAGCATAAGAGTGATGTATTATCTGTTTTCAAAGACTTGTGTGCCCTTACTAAAAATCAGCATGCAACTACTGTTAAAATTCTACGTACAGACAATGGTACTGAATATGTTAATCATGAGTTTGAATTGTTTCTTGCTTTGAATGGTATTGAACATCAGACATCATGTGTCAATACACCAGAGCAAAATGGTGTTGCTGAACGTAAAAATAGACATTTGCTCGAAGTTGCACGTTCATTGATGTTTACAATGAATGTGCCTAAATTCCTTTGGGGTGAGGCAATTAAAACTGCAACTTACCTGATAAATCGCATGCCTCTTCGTGTTTTAGGTTACAAAACTCCTGCTGAATGTCTTCTAAATTCTAATGAATTTGTGGTTCCTCCAAAGGTCTTTGGGAGTGTTTGTTTTGTGCATGACTATAGAAATTCGATTGGGAAATTAGATCCCCGTGCTCTAAAATGTGTGTTTATGGGTTATTCCCCCTCAAAAAAGGGCTATAGATGCTGGTGTCCTTCAGAGCATCGTTTTTTTGTGAGCATGGATGTAACTTTCCGTGAAAATGAACCGTATTATGGGTCAAATGTTGGGTCTGGTATTTCCTTCTCACCTCCTGGTGAGGAGCAAGAAAGGGGAAGTGAAGGGCCTGTCCTTGTTCTTGCTCCCACTTTAGGTGATTCTCTGTCTACTGATAACACTCAAAATCAGGGGGAGGAGAATGATGGTGTTAGCGATGATAACTCTTGTCATGGAGACAAGGGCGATGTCACTGGACACTTATCACTTCCATCTCAAGGTGAGGAGTCTCAAATGCGTGAGGGCCCAGGTACCAATACTATGCCTTCTAATTCTGTAGCTCCTACTAGCACATCAGGGCAGAGTGATAATCAACTTTCTACTCCTGTAGACAATTTACCTATTGCCTTGCGAAGACCAACTAGAACTCGGAACACACCAGGATATCTTAAAGACTACAAACATGATATAGCCAATCACATCTCCTACAAATATTGTAGTCCATCCCTCCAAAGTTTTATTGCTTCTCTAGATCTTGTTTCTATACCAAAAACTGGAAAGTAGCCTTGGAAGACCCAAAATGGAAGGAAGCAATGCTGGATGAGATGAGAGCATTGGAGAAAAACAAAACTTGGGAGCTCGTGAATCTACCTCCAGGTAAGCAACCGGTGGGATGCAAATGGGTGTTTACTATTAAGCACACCCCAGAGGGTAAGATAGATAGATACAAAGCACGCCTTGTAGCCAAGGGGTACACTCAGACTTATGGTATAGACTATGATGAAACCTTTGCACCTGTTGCAAAGATGAGCTCCGTGAGGACTCTCATATCTTGTGCAGTTAATTTTGATTGGAGCATCTACCAGATGGATGTAAAAAATGCATTTCTTCATGGCGATCTTCATGAAGAGGTGTATATGCAAATTCCATCGGGTTTTGAGTCCAGTCGTAATACAGGAAATGTACTACGCCTACATCGTTCCTTGTATGGGTTGAAACAATCACCAAGGGCATGGTTCGATCGTTTTAGACAAGCTATGTTGAAAAGAGGCTATCGACAGAGCAATGCTGACCACACATTGTTCTATAAACATTCCAATAACAAGGTAGCAATCTTGATAGTTTACGTCGATGATATTGTGATGACAGGCAATGATACCGAGGAAATTGCTGGCCTGAAGCACCATCTTGCACAAGAGTTTGAAGTGAAGGATCTAGGACACTTCAGGTACTTCCTTGGCATAGAAGTCTTGCGTAGCAAAAAAGGTATATTTCTAACACAAAGGAAGTACATCTTAGACCTGCTCAAAGAAACTGGCATGTACGGTTCAAAACCAGCTGCTAATCCCATTGAACAGAATCATAGATTAAGTAGTGATGTAGGGAATCCGGTTAATAGAGAGCGCTACCAGAGACTTGTGGGTAAATTAATTTATCTCTCCCACACTCGTCCCGATATTGCATTTGCCGTAAGCGTTGTGAGTCAATTCATGCATAACCCAAGAACGGCTCATCTGGATGCTGTTAATAGAATCCTACGGTACCTTAAAGGGTGTCCAGGGAAAGGTCTTCTCTATACAAAGCAAGGGAATTTACAAGTTGAGTGTTATACAGATGCGGACTGGGCAGGTTCCCTAGATGATCGGCGATCCACTTCTGGCTATTGTGTATTTGTTGGCGGAAATTTAGTCTCTTGGCGAAGTAAAAAACAAAATGTTGTAGCTAGGTCAACTGCCGAGGCTGAGTTTAGATCCATGGCACATGGCCTATGTGAGCTATTATGGCTACAGATTCTTCTAGCAGAGCTGAGGTTATGTCATAGTAAGCCTTTGATACTTTACTG